CCGTCCTACATCACAGTAGCGCTGGGAACCACCTCCCTACTGTCCTCAGAAGGGAGGGATTTGGGGACACAGACTATGAAGTCGCTTCTGCCACCAACTGCCCCCATGACCTTGGACCTCAGCTGCCCTATGTGGATGTGGCCCCAGCCTCTCAGGGCAGCCCAGGAAAGCACAGCAGGCCCCAGAGCCAGCCTGCTGCATTCCAGCTGTCATTTTCTAGAACCTTCCACAGAGCCTGACACATGACCCCACAAACAGTCACTAATAGGCGGATGGAAGACCCCGGATAAAGCAGTCTCCTGGCCTGTAACATGGAAGTCACAGGATAGCTGTGACCTGGGACATGAGGCTCAGCCTTTGGCCCGCCTGGGCCTGGCTGCCGTAAGTGTCACCCCACGGTGACGGTCACTGTCGTTTTTATACTGTTTGCAGCTCTGGGGATCGAATCTAGGGCCTCACCCAGGCTAAGCAGCTGCTCCCCCACGGAGCTGCGCCCCAGCCCCGTCACCCCATCATTACGTGCCCGAGAGGGACAGGAGGCTCGGTCTGCGGGACAGTGGGCAGTGACTAGCTGCACACTTGGAGGGTAGTTCTCGTAGCTCGGTGTGGGTGGGTGGTGACTATGTAAATCCCTTTGTAGGATCTTTAAGCTCCAGAGAGGGACATGGTGGCACCTGGGGACGTTATGAGGAGCACGAGGACTCCAGCGTCCTGGGGGCCACCAACACAAGTCTGTGACCTGGAGCCGATCTTGGGAAGCTGAGCCCTCTCTGGTCCCTGGTTCCCATTTCCAGCCCTGAATCAACCCCTAAAAAAAGCTGGGCAGGAAGGGACTTGGGGACACAGGCTCTGAACCCAGTTCTGCCCCGATGGCCCCTTATGGACTCTGGGACCAGCTTCTCAGGGCTGACCGTGTACAGCACAGTGGGCTCTGGAGCCACCTGTTCCTAGCCCAGCTCTGTCACTTTCTAGAACCTTCCACAGAGCCTTGCACCTGGGGGCACATGGCTCATCCCTGGAGAGGCCCAGCACAGGGAGCCTGCCTGTGGCCTCCAGCCCCAAGGACCCTGGAAATGGCAGAATTTTGCTTGTGACTCTGTGCTTGGATTTGGGGCCAGTCAGACCTGCAAGTCCCAGTGACTGTGGGACACCTGCCTCCATCCTCCCAGGGACCCCTCCAGAGCAGACTGTGCTCTGCTATCAGGCTGGGGCGCCCAAGGACAAGAGGCTTGTCCCCGCCATCTGACCATGAGCTCCCAAGGATGAGCTGCCTCCCCACTGCGCTGGGGCCCCGCAGGGCAGGGGACCCGGGTGTCCTCATTCTGCACCCTCTGCTTGTCCCTCCTAGACGGGGCTGGCAGCTCTTAGAGCTGTCAGTGTATTCACGTTCCCAAGGCGTCTTTTGTCCCCAACTCCCAAGTTGTTTTCTAAGAGCCTTTTCCAGGTTCCCGACCCTGGAGCAAAGGGAGAAGGGGGCTGGGGTCTGAGTCCTAACCCGGGATGAGCCATCGGAAATGAGGTCCCCTGGGCTCCCCGACACCTCTTCAGAAGGACACAGTGCGCAAGCTGGGACCTCCTGTGTCAAGCGCTTAGCACCTGATCCCGCAAGGCTGGCGTTTGCGGTTGGGGACACCAAGGGACCCAAGCCTAAAGGAAGGGCTCTGCCCACCCAGTGGCTCTGCACTGGTCCCCACCCAGAGGTCCTGGGCCTCCGTTTGCTCATCCGTGACATGGGGAGAGTGCTCTTCCCTCCCCCAAGCTGAGCGGGGCAGGCACTGAGGCAGGACACAGGCTGAGCGGGTGACAGGCTGTGGGGACAGGGCCTGGCACAGGCAGGCAGCTGGTAAACCGCTTTCCTCTCAGCTGCCCAGGACACAGGCTCAGAAATGAGGAGAAATGGTTTTTCTGTGAAATTTGGCCAAATCTCCCAGGGAGTCTTGGGGGCTCTGTGGCACCCACTTCCCTGACTGCCTGGTGACAAGGGACCCAGGTGAACCTGCAGAAGGAGGGGTCTTCCCCCCAGAAGCCACGAGGGGGAGGAGCCGGCTGCCCCAGGTCTGCCCAGGTGAGCTGCACTAAAGCCCCTCCTGCCGGGGTGGGGGGGACACTGGGCCCATTTGTCCCCACAAATGATCTCCCTATAGAGACCCCTCCTGGGTGAGAACCCCCCACCCCACCTCTCCAAGACCCCAGAGATGAGCTGGCGATGTTGCTTGGGCAGGGGGTGGGGGTGCTGGGGGGTGGGGGGCTGTGCATGGGACCCTGGAGTCAGAGCTGGGAAAAGCTGGGGCTTCTGTCTTGGATGTGAAGCCCCCGCCCCCCGCCCCACTCCCTGTCTTTCAGGTCTTTCAGGAAGCATCCAGGGCTGAACCCAGCTGGGCACATGGGTGCACACACACGCACACACGCACACACATGCACACACATGCACACGCACGCACACGCACACACGCACACACGCACGCACACACACGCACACTGCTGCCCTGGCTCCTGCCCTGAGTGCGGCCCCCTCCCCCCGCAGCCCTTCACCCCTGGGTCCCCTCTGCCCCTGTCAGACCCTCCGTCTGTCTTCACACCTTTGGTGGGAACTCTGGGTGGCTCTCCAAGGTCACCCAATCCATCATGTCCCGCAGCTTCTCAGCCCCAAGATGGGGTGCACTCTCCCAGTCTCTTCCTTTCAATTCTCCTCTTGTGAGGCAGCGGGGTGTGGGTCCCCCTCGGGGGCTTCCAGGCAAACACACTCCACCCCAAAGCCGTCTAGCCATGAGCGGGAAAGTCTCCCCAAGATCGGTGCTCACCCCAGGGAGTTGTTCTCCCCTCCCTTGTCACCCTTAAGCCCATCCCCTCGCCCCAGAGACCCCTGTCTGCTGGGTCTCCTGGCTCTGTGACAGTGTCCTGCTGACGAGAAGCCTCAGGCACAGGAGGGGCTGCAGCTACTGGCAGGGGGCTAGGGTGCCCTGGCTCAGCCTGGCCAGCCAACATGTCCCGCCATCTGTAAAGGGAGGCAGGTGCTCCACGCTGTCTCAAGGTCCCTCTTCAACTTTCCGAGGATGTTCCCCCACACTGGCTCTGTCCCCAGGGCCAGGCCTGGACCACGTCTGCGCCATGGACACCCCAGCGCTCAGCAGCACCTTCCCTCGCAAACTCGGGGCTCCTGGGTTGCCGACCCCCTGTTCAGTCCCGGCCGGTTAGCCCCCCACACTAACGAGACAGAGGTCATGACCTTGAGCCCCCAAGAAGCCACTTGGTTTCACTGGCGAGGGGAGGGTTCTGGCCTGCAGACTGTGGGCACGTTCAGGGTTCTGTTCACCCAGGAGGCCCGGCGAGACCAGCCCGGGGCTGACAGTTCAGCTGAGTCATGTCCCCTCCTCCTGTGGCCGGGCCCAGGAGGCTTGGGGAGCCTCCGGAGGGCGCCGCGTGGCCTGCCCAGGTTTACCGGGCACTCATCTGTGCCAGGCTGGAGCTAAGCCCTTTCCAACGGTCACTTCACTCCATCCTCAATGACCCTAGGAGGTGGGTACCGGCATTGTCCCCATTTCACAGATGAGCAAATCAAGGCACAGCAAGGGGAAAGGATTGCTCCAGGTCTTCCCAAGCGAGGGACAGGCGGAAATGCAGGTAGCCCCCCCGCTGTGCAGGTCAGTAGAGACACCAGAAGGAACTTAGACCAGGGACTGGCATTTTTTTCTGGGTAGCCGGATAGTATTTGAGGCCCCACAGACTCTGGTCTCTTGGGAAGCTCAGCAACTCCGCCATCACTGCACTAAAGCAGCCGTCACGTGATGAACGTGGCCGTGTTCCAATAAAACTTTATTTACACAAACAGGTGGCTGGAGGCTGTGGCCTGCAGGAAGTAGCAGATCCCCTTGACTCTTTAAAAAAATATTTTCCCTCGAGGTAGACAACAGGTGTCCCATATCGATCACACTGTCCAGGAAACAGGACAGGGAGTCAACTAACATTGGCTCGGCCCTTCTTTCGTGCCAGGCTGGGTGCTAGGCGCTTGGATTGGTGAGCAGGTTGGTGCAGGTTAGCAACCGTCTTTGTGTAACGGGGGCTAAACCAAGGCTTGAGCTGCACAGCAGCTTGAGGTCACCCCAAGAAGGCAGAGCGAGGATTTCAACTCACCCTGAAGCCCTCCCCCTCCCCCACAACAGCTGTTGGGATCCGTTTTGTCTGGTGTCTGCTCCCCACAGACAGGCCTGGGGGTCCCAGCAGGTGAGAGACAGAATAAACCCAGACGGCTTTGTCCCCTCCCCCACGGGGATCTGGGAGCTACTGCAGCTACAGAAACGAACCCATCAGTGCCTCAAATTCCCTGGGACTTCTGGCACCATCGACTCCTGTTCCTCAAACCCACCAAAAGCCACCAGGAGCCCAGCGCCATCTCTCTGACTTCATCCCAAGCAGGTCCCAGGACCTCTCCGAGTGACTAAAGCAGCAACCAATCATAGCGAGTGAACAGAGTTCTGAGACCCAATCAGAGTGCAGCTCTGGGTCCAGAGCCTCATCTGCAATTCTCTGCATCCACAGAGGGTCCTGCCTCCCAAGGACAGGTCACTCCTGGTGGGAGGCAGGAGATGCAGCCCAGGTGGACCCCAGCCCAGCCAGCCTCCTGCAGGGAAGGGGCCAGGCCCGACCCAGGCACCTGAACAGCATGAGGTGGAGGGGGCAGGCCAAGGGCAAGTGCACACAGTACTGTTTCGGTTTCTGGACGGCAAGACAGTGGAAGCCCTCCCTCCACACGCAGGTGGGCAGCTCGAGAAGCTCACCCAGGGCCGAGGACCGCGGCTACCCCAGTAAGTGGGAGTGGACGGAACAGCACCACCCCCCGCTGAGACTCTCAGGATCCCCAACAGGCAGGGGGCTCACGGAGACCAGTGAGTTCTCAGTGACACCTGCTCTCTCCGTGGAGAACCAACCTGGGCACCCAGGGCACCCACAGCTAGGCCTCAGGTGTCTGGTGATGGCCTGGGCGGAGCAGGGGGGCCACCTACCTGAGGAGACAGGCCGTTGCTGACGGGGTTCATGTGGTTGGAGGGGGCCCCCGGGTTCATGAAGCTGTCGGAGTAGCTGGAGAAGCTGTGGCGGGCTCCGTAGGCAGAGCTGGTGTCTGCGGCAGCGGCTGCGGCCAGCCCACCCTGGTGCATGGTGGACGGCGGGAGGGGCTGGGGCCGGTGCACGGTGCTGCCCCCATCTGTGGAGAGTCCCCAGAGAGTCCTGAGCAAGGGACTTTGCCCTGGAGGCTGTGCCTCTGAGGGCAGGAAAGAGCCTCCTAGGAGGAAGGCCGGCCATGAGCCTCTTCAGCCCAGGCTCACCCCTGGGGGAAAGTGGCCACCTTCTCAGGTGACTTGGGAAGGGACACACTGGCTCCTGAGCAGGACACTAGGGACGGGCCAAGTCTTGACTGACACCCTTATGCCCCGACGTCCTCTCTGCAACTGCATGCTGCTCTTGTTGCAGGTACACAGCAAGTGCTCCATAAATGTTAGCTAGACTGAAAGTCACCCCCTGTGACTCTAATCGGCTCAGACTTGGCCTGCTCCTGTATGTGAGCATCGGCCACGTGCCAGGGGCTTCCACAGGCGCTGTCTCAGGGCCACGAGGTGAGAATTCGATTCTCATTTTACAGATGACAGCACCAGTCTTGGAGGGGTTGGGGACTCATGCAAGGTGACAAGGCCAGTGGGTGGTGGGACGAGGGTTCACATGGCTTGACCCGGAGCCGTTTCTGTTCCTAGCTGTCGGGCAGCTACACGGCTCTGTCAGGGTCCCTCTTTCTGTGCAGCCCTTGTTGGGAATGCAGAGTCTCGGGCCCGCAGCCCAGCATGTCCCCAAGATGCCCGGGACCCGTGATGGAAGGGATTTGGAAAGCTCTCTTCCAACAGGTGCTCGGAGGTGCCCAGCTGAGCCTCCTGGAGGGTGGCCTCTTGAGCCAAGGATTTCAAGGGCACGGCGGGGCCTTTTTTGGCTTAACAGTGTGTGCACAGGAAAGTCCACAAGTGGGACAACCTAGAAGGGACAACCCCTGTGAGCCAGAGGACTGGAGGCTCAGGTGGCCGGGGAGGGACTCGGGGCGGGCCGCACGCTCACCTTGGGAGATGGTGGTGGTGGGGTAGGTGGAGTCCGGCAGCTGGTACGGGGGCAGCGTGGGCATGCCCGTGGGCGGGAAGCCCCCTGGCAGGAGGTGGTTGAAGGCTGCCAGCTGGTTGGCTCCTGCCTGCTTCCGCCAACGGGCGCGGCGGTTACTGAACCAGACCTGGGGGAGGAGAGGGAGATGGAGACCACCCGACTGGAGCAGCTGGAACTAGTCCCCACCCCAGCCACATCCTCTGGCCCAGGCAGTGTCCTTCTCCAGGGAAGGACGGCCCCCGTCATGCAGACCTGGACGGTCTGTGGGAGGATTTCATAGGCAGGACCCCCTTCAGTCCTCACGGCCAGTGAAGAAGTTCTTATCATTGTCCCCATTTTAAAGATGAGGAAACTGAGACTCAGAGAAAATGGGTAAGTGGCCACGACAGGGTAAGTCGAGGCTCAGACCAGCCTCTCGGCCGGTGATCACCCCACTGCTGCTGCGCCAGCCCTGAGGGTGCAGGTAGCCTGCCGGCCATCCTTGCCCATGTTTGTGTGTACCCGACCCTGTGCCCACTTTACAGCAGGGGAAACTGAGGCTCGGAGAGGTCACAGCTCGCTCAAGGCCACCTGCCTGCAATGGATCTAGGTTCCAACTGAAATCAGCCTGGCTCCAGGGCCGGCTCGCCTGGGTTTGCAACTCCTTAGGACCCAGAGAGACAAGGAGAGGGTGGTGGGCTGCTTCGAGGGCGGTCCCCACCTCTGGGCTCGACACCTGCTGCCCCCTCTCACCCCAACGCCCTTCCTGCAACTGGTTCCTTCAGCTCAAACACCCCTCAGTGCTGACTCCCTCACTTCTCATCTAAGGTGGGTTCAGGGGGCTCCCCACTCCCCTCGGGAGGTGCTCAACAAACATTTACTGAGTGAAGTCACGGTGGGCAGACGGGGAGGGCGGCGGGCTCTGGTGCGTCTCTGCTGGGCGGGAGCCACAGGGCCCAGCTGGGCCCTGACATGGCTCTTCTCTAGGTCCTCTCGGGAGCAGCGGCACTAGAGCAGAGAGGGCTCCACCCACTTGGGCCAGGTTGGAGGCGGGGGCATCCCAGGGGCCTCCTGGGCTGGGCTGGACCTGGACCCTGGGAGGAGTGGGCACTGGCTCCCGGCTCCCAGCCTCCTGGAGAAGGGTGGGGACGCTGGCTGGAGTCAGTCCACCTGGAGGCCACGGGGACAGATGTCCAGGTCGCAAATAGCCTGAGCCCAATGCCCCGCCCACTTCTCTGGGCCCTTTGGGGCTTGGGGAAGGGCGGCCTCCGTCAGGTGCTAATGCGTCCTCCTCTTGTCCTGGGCCCTCTCTCCTACTCGCTAATCTCCCTGTCCAGCCCAGGAGGGCTTTGCAGGTGGCAGTTCCTGCAAGACTTCCGCCGTGTTTGGTTTCCACAGTGCTTGTGTCGCCCTGTTGCTGCCCCTTTATGGACACGCTGCACGCGTTTACTTTAAAATACGTTCATTTTGCTAAAGGAAGTAACACAGCAGAGAACGTGAGCGTGGCAAGAGTCTCTCGGACACGGGGAGACGGTCACTGACGTTTGGGCGGCGGCGTCCTGGTTTGTCACATGTCCTGGTCTGTCACGGGGCTGTCCCCTCCTGCTGGCTCATCTTTTCCTCAAATCAAAAGTGCAAAGTGGACTGGGAAGCAGCTCCCTCCTTCCCTTCCGGCCCCTTCTCTGCTCCTTTCTCTCCCTCCCCTCCCCCTCTTGACCTCCTCCTCATCCCTGACAGACCCCGAGCAGAGACATGGGCAGCTGGTCCTGCAGCTGCCCTCCGCCTGGAGTAGGACCCTCGAGCCAAAGAACCACTGCTTCCCTGTGCGGGGACCTCAGGCAGGTGCCTCGCAGGTGTGTGAGGAGGCCGACTGCCTCCTCGGGGCTCAGGAGGACCCTGTCGGGGAGAGGGCCTGCCCCTTGTCCCTGGGACACCGCCATCCCACCGGGGTCCCCACTTCCCACTAAGTGTGGCTTGATGGGTGACAGCAGGCTCCCCGGGGCCAACTGCTTGGGTTTGGGCCTTGCCCTGACCTCCAGCTAAGATGGCGAAGTCTGTTGTCCCTCCCTCTGAGCCTCCGCCTTGTGACCATCTGCAGTTCTGGACCCCTTGAGGGCACTGGTGACATACAGCATTGTGCTGTCTGCCAGAGACACGTGAAGTCACTGAGCTGAAGGCTCGTGGCCAACGTCAAGTGCGAGGTGCCCGTTTACAGGCCGGAGGTGGGGACTCCCGGGGGGGGGACAGTCGAGGTGCCAGCACCCACCCAGAGCCCCTGACCAGGGCTGGGCTCTGGGAAAGCAGCGCTGGTCTGATGATTCTTTATTCTTTTTTGTGGCGCTGGAGACGGAACCCAGGGCCTTGTACATGCCGAGCACGTGCTCTGTCACCGAGCTGCACCCCAGCCCCAGCACCTAGCCCAGGAGCGGGCACAGTAGGACCATCTTGCAGAGTTGAATTTCACCTGATCTGTCTCTTAGTGTTGCCCAGAGGAAAAGAACTCGGGCAGAGACTGAGCCCAGCACAGCCACGTTCTGTGTGGCCAGGAAGCTGTGTCCCTTAGCTACACCTCAGTTTTCCTGTCTGCAGTATGGACAGAGGAATGACCCCTCACCTCCTAGGGTTACAGCGAGGAGGGGTGGAGACGCTGCAGAGTAGGGAACGTCCTGCCTGGCACTGCAGACGCGCACCGTCACCTCACTGTAAAGCTGTGAGCGGATTCAGTGCAGGTTGCACCAGGTGGCGCACGCCTGTAACCCCAGTGGCTCAGGAGGCTGAGGCAGGAGGATCACAAGTTCAAGGCCAGCCTTGGCAATTTAGCAAGTCTTGCTAAGCAACTCAGTGAGACCCTGTCTCTAAATGAAATACAAAATAGGGCTGGGGATGGGGCTCAGGGGTCCAGTGCCCCTGAGTTCAATCCCTGGTACCCCCTAAAAAAAAAGACTCCATGCAGGCTGCTAATCAGCCAGCCCTCGGGGCCTCCAAAATGGCATTTCTGTTCAGCTGACAGCAGGGTTCTGAACCGGGGCCACCGGATGCCCGCTGCTGCCCTTCCCTGAAGGGTGGGAGGTGCTGTGGGTGACCTCGGGACCCAGCAGCCCCTGGGCCTCTGTTTCCAGAAGAGATGCTCAGGCTCCAGGGTTGCCCAGGGTGACGCCACTGATCTGTTCGCCTCCAGGGGAGAGGCAGGCAAGGCTGGGCTGGCCTCCAGCAGCTGAAAAGTGGGAGTTCCCCAGCGTGGTCCTGGGTCCCTGGCCTGCGTGCCCTGCCCCTCCTGTGGCTCGGGCTTCCTGCTGGCTTCTCTGTGGCCAGCCCAGAAGGCTTCAAGGGGGGCTCCTGACTCCTGGGGGCCAAGCTGGGGGGAGCCCGAGGGCAGGAATAGCCGGCTCTCCCCACAGCGCCCGACTCACCCTCCTGCAGGAGGACCTTGACTTCCTGCTTCCCTGTTTACTAGAATGGCGGCCCATGGCCACGGGCACTTCTGCCTGAGGAATCCCTGTCTGGTGGACAATCCTCACTCAATGATGGCCAGAGGGACAGACACGGAGCCACAGGGGCGGCCAGCGCTGGAACTGCCAAGGGCAGGTGGGCTCTTCATGATCCAGCCCCTCTGGGCGCCAGGCGTTTCTTAATAGATTTTTTTTTTTTTTTTACACTTAATCATTTAATCCCACAACGAGGCTGACCCACTGCTCCTGCCTCCACGGTGCAGAGGAAGAGACCAGCGGAGAGCGGAGGGGTGGGGATGGAGCTGGAAGCCAACCCAAGGCTTCCGGTTCTGACTGCACCCCGAGCCCGTCCACTGCCCACCATGTCCACCCAGGGCCACGGGGATGAGACAGGATTGGATTGCAAAATCCCAGAACCACAGATTTAGGATCAGAGACCAAGACCTCAGAAGCACAGAGCCAAGCCCTGCGCCATGGGGCACGCCTGTAATCCCAGCCCCTCTGGAGGCTGAGGCAGGAGGATCACAAGTGGAGGTCAGGCTCAGCAACTTAAGGAAACCCTCAGCAACTTAGCAAGACTCTGTCACAAAATGAAAAATAAAAAGAGCTAGGAATGTAGCTCAGGGATAAAGCACCCCTGGGTTCAATCCCCGGTACCTAAAAACAAGAAGCTCAGAATCTAGAGCTCAGAATCTCGGGATCGCTCTCTAGGTTCCCGGGTCCGCTGGACACTGTGCTTTTGCTCGAACATTTCTACAGATGGGGTCCCCTCCCCTCCCCAGCATCCCTGGTGGTCCACAGTGAGAACCCCAGAGCTTCCAGAAGGCTTCGTGGTCACTGAGCTCCGTCCCCTGTCTAAGATGGACACTAACTCTCTGGAAGGGAAAGTGGCCTGCCCAGGTGTCCCAGTGGGTCAGAGGCGGGACCCACAGGCTCGGGAACTCTCTCCCTGTGGACCTTCCTGCTGGACTGGAGCGGATGCCCTGTTGTCCCTGGTCCCTCCACCCTCGGCTCCGAGCAGCACGGGCTTCAGTTCCCTCAGGCTACAGGGTCTTGATTTTGTTTTTGCGGTGGACGGTCAGCCTTTGTTCCTTCTTCAAAAACTCAACATTTTTGTTTCTTTTCTCTCCTAAGAGACCCTGGGGGCTAAGGAGCCCCTGGAGGTCACAGCCGGTGGCAGGAGCATGGCAGGGAGCAGTGTGCCTGGGCTCCCCGCTCCTCCACCCCCAGCCCCCGCCCTCCTTGGACCTTGAGTGACACCTGTTTCTAGGTCCCCTGGGCCCATAAAAGCAGGGTCCTGACAGCCAGGCCATTTCACAGGGAGCAGGCAGGCTGCAAGGTGGCGGGAAGAGCCCGGCCGGACGTGGGAACCAGAGGCCCCAGGAATGCGCTGCACAGCTGCAGGGATCAGGCAGGCCGGGCTGGGCAGGCTCAGATGTCCCCCTGGCTGGGAGGGGAAGGCAGAGCGCTGCCCCCCGCTGGGAGTCAGGCTGCAGGCTCCAGCCAGGGTCTCCCTGATGGTCTGAGTCACCATCTCCTCCGCGTGGAAAGAACGTGGGCGTTGGCACCACCAGGCCCAGCCAGCGGGGTCCAGCTCCGTGCCCGGGGGTGGCCGCTTCCCTGGGCCTGTTTCTGTCCCTCGGGCTTGGGGGCTGTCCAGGCTGCACGAGGCCACCTGTGAGGAGTCGCGGGCACTGCAGTGGGCACCCAGGGGGTGCGAGGAAAGCTGGTCCCCCCACTGGTCACAGCCCCAGCAGCAGTCAGGGGCAGCCCCTCTGCAGGCCCACTGCCCGGTCATTAGGAGATAGCCCAGGAGTGGTTCCCACTGAAGCCACTTGTCACCTCCTGTCCTCTTCCTCCTCCACAGCCTGAGCCCTGGCACTGAAGGACATCTGTAGGCCTCCAGTCGGAAGTCCAGGGCCCAGCCTGGGGACATGAGGCCACCCCCTCCCCAGGGCAAGCCTGGAGCCCCAAGCTCTGGCCCTACCCCGCCCCTCCTTGAAGGCCTGGGGGGGACGATCCAGGTCTGGGGTCTCCCTGCCCTGGCCTGATGGGTCACACCCACCTGCCCGGCCTCTGGGGCGCTTCCCACACGGGAAACTCGCGACCCATCTGCGGAGGCCAGGCCTGCTCAGAAGTCCCCTCCCCACGGTCCCCATCAGAGACCCGCAGCCCAGTGCCCTTCCTTCTCCTTCCTCCGCCTCCCTCTTCTTCTTTCTGTCCCTCCATGTCCCCTCCCCTTGGGCTGTCCACCTCGGTCAGTCACATTTGCTGTCCACGCACTCTGCTCCAGGTGCTGGTGGCATTAATCACTCACCTGGTCCCCAACGCCCTGTTGCACCCCCACCCCCTCGCACTGACCTTGGCCTCCTCGGAGCCGGGCCCTCGCGTCCCCTCACCTGCACGCGGGCCTCGGTCAGCTTGGTCCTCTGGGCCAGCTCCTCGCGGGTGTAGATGTCGGGGTAGTGGGTCCTCTCGAAGGCCTTCTCTAGCTCCTCCAGCTGCTCGGCCGTGAACGTGGTCCGGCTGCGGCGCTGCTTGCGCTTCAGAGGGAGGTCGGGTTCCGACTCCACGTCGGAGCCCTCGTCCAGCCGGTTCCCTGCAGCGGGCGAGAGGGGAGACCGCGGGCCGGTGAGGCGGAGGGCGGGTCTGCAAGGAGCCACACGCGCCCACCTCTGAACACTCACTGAGGACCCGGTCCCTCCCGAGCAGGGAAGGATGCTGACCGCTGCAGGGTCTGTGGGAAGCAGCCTCCATCCCCGGCCCCAGGAGGCTGGCTAAGCAGTTTCTGGCAAAACCATTTTTTTTTTAAAGCTAATCCCCCATAGTTGGGCATTTAGATTATTTCCACTCGCACGGATGGATACCCATGACATAAGGCTCAGGGGGTGGTTTCATGGTGAAATACATTTGTCAAAATTCACAGAAGTATATTCTCCAAGAAAGGGAGGGTTTTGCTGCATATTAACGACATCTGAAAAACCAACTTTAAAAAAAAGCAAGGTACAAACCGCCTGCAGAAAAGCACGCACAACCCTAGGACCCAAACCCGCACAGGCGCCCACCCCGGGGCCGGACGGCGCTTTCTTTGTTATACTTGTATTTAGATGTTTTTAAAATGATGATCGCTTCAACAAGACTGTTGTGGGGTTTTGTGGAAATATTGCAAAAACTAAGAGAAGGAGGGGCGTGGGGGAGGGGGAGGCGGGGGAGAGTGGAGGGGGCACGACTGACGTGCACCTGACGGTCCTCCTCCGGCTCCTGCTCTCCCCCTCACAGGCACTACCGGGCCCCACAGTGGCGTCTGGGAGCTCAGACTCCTGCCTGCCTCTGCTCTAGGGAGGCTAGCTTCCCGCGGGCCTCAGTTTCCCTACATGTAGCACGAAACGTTTGGACTATGTGACTTCCACAGGCAGGCCCTTCTGGGACACTCCCAGATCTCTCAGTGACCTCCCAGCCTGGAGGAGGGGCCCTCACCTGGGTGATCTTGGTTGGGCCATGGCCCCCACCTCTTGACTCCTACTAACTTCCAGCCTGGAGCCTGGAGGTGAGTGAAGGCTTTGGTTTCCTGTGCAGAGAGAGCAGGAAGCTGGAGCCAGCCTGCTCCCCGGCACTGGAAGGGGCTCTCAGGCCAGAAATCCATTTCTGCCCCAGTTGCAGCCTGGGGAAGCTTCAGGAAGGGCTTGATCAAGCTTCCCAACGGTTGGGAGCTGAGGCTGAACTGGCTCCCCACCCCCACTGATCCCCTGCCCCTTGCCCATTTCTGACACTGTCAAGGGGGTGCTAGCAGGGAGGTCCCTAGCCAGGGCTCAGAAGCTCTGCCCCACCCACCAGGAGGGCCTGTGGGGAGCGTGGGGGAGGGGCTGGTGAGAGAAGCAAGCAGGGGAGCAGGAAGGTAGGGGGCAGGGAGAGAGCCCTGACGTCGTCCTCCTCCTCCCGCTGCTGCTCTCTCCCTCTCCTCTTTGCCTCTGTCTTCCTTCCTTCCTCCATCTTTGGCGTCCTGGAAAACACCCTGAGTTTTTATTCATTCCCTCAGCAGACCGTTTACTGAGCATCTGCTTTGCCTGAATGGACACGGCGTCACGGGCCCACACTACAGATGGGAGAAACTGAGTCACGGAACCGCAGAGGGGAGTGTCCAGGCTGTCAGGGTCCCCTCTGCACTCAGCTGTGGTCCCACCTGCTCACCTACTCCAGGGCACACCCTGCCGTGCCCAGCTAAGTGACGCCCGGGACCCCACGAGGAGCGACCCCCCCCTCACGTTGGAAAGCAACGGAAACAAAGATGAGCTCAGCCCCTTCGACGCAGAGGAGGTGAGGGGACGGCGGGCAGAGGCCACGTTGCTGAAGGGCACGGTGGGCGGTCCACCCCGTGCTGCCCTGCAGGTCACTCGGGGAAGGGGGCGGCGTCCACCTGCAGCCCAGCTGCCTGGGGCAACATCCTCTGCTGTGCCCCGGGTTCCTTCTCCCTGTCCCTTACCTCACCCCGTGAGAAGTCGTCCCTGTGCCTTACTGACCACTGCCAGGCTGTCCCCAGCTGTGACATCATGCCATACACCCAGGGAACCAAGCCAGTCCTCCCTTCACTGCTGAGGGCAGATCTGGGGACAGGGCCGACCCCTCCCCTGCCCTTCACGGCCTGGGCTGCCAGCTGCCCGGCCCCCTCTGACACCGAGAGCAGACGGCGCGGGTCCAGCTGGCATCCTGGCCCCTCCCTGGCACGCCTGGGGCTCAGAGCCAGAGACGACTGATCCCAGGGACTCACGCCTTGGAACTCGCCGCGGGCCTGACTCCTGATGGGGACAAGGAGGGCGAGCGCGGCTCTGAAGGAGGACCTGGCGGTGGCAGGTGGCCAGGGACGCAGGAGTGGCACCCGTGCAGGGACCCTCAGGCTCAGGCAGGACAGGGATCAGGGTTGTCAGAGGCGAGACCCCGGCACAGATTGTCCTCAGAGCCGGGAGTCGGAGGGCGGTCCCCTGAGGGAGGGGCACAGTCACCCTGGAGGGAGCCCAGGCTAGTGGCCCAGGCTGCGCACAGAGCCTCGGCGGTGACGGGAGGCTCTCCACCCACGCTGTGCCGTGTGGCCGTCCTGGCCGCGTGTGGCATCTGGAGAGCCACTGGAGAGCTGTTTTCCACTGGCTTGACTTTGTTTCCGACCTGCCTCCCACACCTCCCCTCAGGGCAGGGGCAGCCCTGGGCCCGGAGCTGCCCGCGGGGACACTCCAGGACACTGAAGGCCCCGAGCCGGCACTCAGGGCTCCGGGCAGGAGCGCTGCTCTCCTGAACAGGGTTTCCACGGGGCTTCTGTACAAAGTAAAGCCCTAAGGAGATAACAGCAGACTATCAGGCTGTGACCAAAACTGTGACAATGACCAAATGACCCACATCTGTCTCAGGCAGAGGCGCCCAGTGCAAGGTGCTTCCGTCCACTGCCCAGGCTCAGTGCCTCTGCCCCACCCCGTGCCTCTGCTCTCCAGGATCCTAGGCCCACCATGGACCTCTGCTCTGGCCCCCTGCCCCCCAGCTCCCCCTCCCTGGATCAGCAAGATCTGGGGAGCCCGTGGGGCCAGAGAGACCCAGACAGCAGCCCAGGGGGAAGCGAGCAAGCCCGCAGGTCTCCGCTGTTTGAGAGGATCTGGAGGACACTGTGGGATGATGTGTCGCCATAACAACCCTTGGGATGCCGAGAAGGGACAGCAAGACTGTCCTCCACCCGCAGAGACGCAGACACATCTTAGGAGAAGGGGACCACAGTCTATATGTGACTTCAGTCCCCTGAAGGAGAGTTTCCACCCGCTCCCCGGCCTCGCAGGGGATGAGACCCCCATTTGAGGGTGTGGGGGGCTTCTCTGTGCTGTTCACATGACAGGTCTATGAAGCTGGGACAACTGGCTCTTTTGAAAATAAGGAAACCGGGCGCAGTGGTGCACCTCTGTAATCTCAGTGGCTCAGGAGGCTGAGGCAGGAGGATTGCGAGTTCAAAGCCAGCCTCAGCAATGGCAAGGTGCTAAGCAACTCAGTGAGACCCTGTGTCTAAATAAAATATAAAATAGGGCTGGGGATGTGGCTCGGTGACTGAGTGCCCGAGTTCAATCCGTGGTACCCCTGCCCCCCCAAAAAAATAGGAAAACCAAGGCTCAGAGAGGTTCAGTCACTTCAAGGAGCTCACACAGCCCCCATAAGACCATGGAGAGGGATAGTGAGGAAGGGACTGATTGGCGGGGAGCGTGACAGCCTTGGGGACCTGATAACTGGGTCCTGATCTCTGTCTTTCCTTTGCTGTGTGGCCTTGGATAAGTCTCTTCCTGTCTCTGGACCTGGGTTTTCTCAGCTGTAAAAATGAGGATAAAAGCGCATCCCTGCCTTCGGCACTGGATGGCTTTGGGGGTGCAATGGAAAACAGTCTTCGAGAATAATTTGGAAGAGAAAGGACACGGGATCATTACTGTTGATGACGGTGGTAACGAGGGTGGTGATGGGGTGGGGTGGAGGGGCGACCGGGCACAGCAGGGTAAGAAGGGGCCTTGACTCTGCTTCTCGCCTCCACCCGCCTGGCGCCCTTCCCCCTCCCCGCCCCCAGGAACCCTTTAGCCTCTGAGTTAAATTAATCAACAGGATGAAGTGGGATTGGCCGCAGAGAGCCCTGCTGACGGGGGCTGAGTCCTCCACGCACCAAAAGCCAGGCGCTGAGCAGTCAGCGTGGGGTGGGGGCACGTGGGGGACGGACATGGGAACGCATTCATTACGGGCGGCCGAGAGGGACCTCCTGGTCAGCCCGGCCTTTCCAGCAGCTGAGGGTAACGTCCCTAGGGCCAGGCCCTGGTCTGAAGATGGCCCGAGACAGGGCAGGGTGCAGGACACAGGTTCCTGGATCCTGTCTCTGCCGGGAGGCTGGGGAGGCCCCCGATCTCGCAGGGGGAACAGCTTCCCCCGTCAGAAGCCCCCAGTGTGACGGGGGTGTGGGGGGGTACCTGGGCCTGAGGATTCCCGGGTCAGCGGTGGAAAGACTGTTTCCAGGTGACCTGGGCACAGGACAGGCCTCCATCAGCAGGGCACCCAGGTGACCTGCGAAAGCCACCGAGCAGCCTGAGGACGGAATGAAGGGCAGGGCCTGTGGTCCGGCCAGGCTGAGGGTGGGGTGCAGCCCGGCAGGTCAGCGACGGCGGATGTGAAGTTTCTGGGGTGATGCTCAGCTACCCCCAGACCCTGCCTCCTTCAGAGCCCCCGCCCACCTCTGGGAAATGGCTGCCCACTGCCCGGTGGGCCAGGAAGCCCTGGCTCTGCCAGGAGGCCCCACCACCACGACGCGGCCCAGTGTCCAGACACTCCGCCCTCCGCGGGCCTCCCTGTCCAGCTCTGGCTTCCTTAAACGGAAGAGCCAGGGGCTGTGACCACAGCTCCCTCTGCTTCAGGGTCGCCCCTGCCATGGTGGGGGGGTCCTGCTCATCCCGGGCAGCCAGCTCAGGGGCAGTCTGCCCAGCAAGGCCCATCCCCGCGGGCTCAGGGCCTGCCCTTGGCTCTCAAAGCTCACCCATGGGTCAAGGCGCTGCCTGACTGTGACTGTGGTCTGCGGGTGTCCCGGGCTGGGGGACCCTGGGG